GTAGGGAAATATGTCTGTTCACTCTTGAAGGTGTTTCATCTTGAACGACTAACCCACAACACAGGTAATGTTGCCTCAGACTCGTACACAAGCAGGGGAAAACCCTCTGTCCTAATTCAGCCATGATAATGAGTGGAATTAGGTGTCACCGCTGTGGCAACCACAAAGTAACTTGCAAACCCAGGCTTTATGCCTGAACACACTAAGTTGTTTTTAAATATCTGGGTCTGGAATAGTACAACTATTATTAGATTTTTTTTTTTTCTGTCCTTTATATTCTTGTTTAATACTGTCTTCTCTCCCGGTCTTTTTCATAACACTCCTAACTGTTCTTCTCACTTGGCTCACCTTTTATTTTTTATTAATTCTCTCCATCCTTTCATGCTCTATCCTTTTCTATTTTTCACTTTCATTTTGTTCATCTCCACTTTGTGTCTTCCAGGGCCCTTCTTCATCCGACTTGATGCTCCAATGAACAACATTACCACCTCTCTGGGCCAAACAGCTGAGCTCTTGTGTCATGTGTCTGGCAACCCGCCACCTACTGTGCGCTGGCTGAAGAACGATGCCCCTGTCATGCAGGAGCCACGGCGGGTCTCCTACCGCTCCATGTCGTATGGATCTCGCCTCCGCATCCGCAACCTGGACACCACCGACACAGGCTACTTCCAGTGTGTGGCCACCAACACCCAGGGTACCGTGTCCACGACAGGCGTGCTGTTTGTCAAATTTGGTAAGATGAGTAGAATGGAGACAATTGCAGCAATCTGAAGCTGCCAGACATGTATTTTCAGTTTTACACACTTTCTGTGAAAAGCAGTAACTTTTTTTATCTTCTATCTGTCTCCCCCTACTAAAGATCTGGCTCTTTTTAGCAACACTCGTCTCAGCTGATTCTTGTTTGTAGCTGGCAGCATGTGCAGAGGAAAATCTGGGAGCAATACTGTTTACCCTGTTGTAAAAAGATCCCATTGTCTTCTTTTCCAGATCCACTACCTACATCTCTGCCAGGAAGGCCAACGTAAGTTGCTTTTCCTCTGTCCATTTTTCTCTCCAGGCAGTCTCTTTATGTTATACTTTGCAGAATGCAGTGCAGGGTTTCACTAAGTGAGACCAAGATACTTTGCAAATGTTTGTGCAGCCCTGGGTGACACGAATAGAAACATGACAAAACGGTCTTGATTTGTTATCTCTACTGATAATCATTTGTTGGCAAGTTTATAATAGAAACACATTTCACAATAGATGCAATACAAGTGCCATGAAATGCACAGTTTGGTAAATAGACTAAAGAGCATTTACACATTGACAGCAGCAGTCCCAGAGCAGCATTGTTTTGTATATATTTCACATTTTATTTCACTAAAAGCTTGCAAAGAGCCACCAGAGAAAAGGTGCTATGCAGCGTATTCATTAGTCAGTCACAGCAGGTCCAGGTTATTTTTACTATTATTGGTACAGGTCTCAGTATGACTTTGTTATGTTATGACTTGACGTATATTTACTATGGAGTCGCAAATCCGCTGAGGTGCAATTTTAACATGTCAGATGCTACATTATACTTTGCAAGTTTGAACCAATTAGCTTGTTGTTTTTGATTCCTGCTAGCTTGTAAAGGAAAGTGTTGCAGTCAGCCATGCAATCACGAGTCTCATTACAGTCATTACAAACATCATTTAAATAGACAGAGGGCCTCCTTTAACAGTGGAGGGGCTGCAGTTATGGTGGGCCAGTCATCACCGCTGCTCATCATTAGTGTCACAACCAACTTATAAGCTGCAAATTTAGGGCGGCAGCCATCTAGAAGACAGGGTCACCTAATGATGACACATGATGACCTGTGTCTGCTTACCTCATACTACAGCTGTTCAAACGTCAAAATGTCTGTTCCTTGACTCCAAGTTTTTGAAGAGACATCTGGCTCAGAGTGGAAGTTTGTCAGTTTGATTGAAATATGTTAATTTGTGCTGCACAACTTTTTTTTTTTTTTACCTCTCCGCTAAGCTGACTGGCACAGTTACTTTCATTTTCTAGGAATAAATTAACCACGAATATTGCCTGTAAAATTGGGAAAATTTCTTACCACCCACTTAGTTGAACCTGAACATAATACAGATTTTATGTCCTTCTTGTTGTCTTTGCTTCGGCCTGTGCTCTGATTTCCATCGCCTCAAAGTATGCACTCTGTGGTGTGTGGAACATTACTGTGTTTATGTGTGCACGCTTGTGTTTGTATAGTATGTATCCTCAGGGGTGGGTTTTTGAGAGTAGCCACAGGCAAACTCAGAGCTGAAAGCCTGGATGTTTCAGCTACAGTTCAGACAGCTTGTGTCCAATGTAACTGTGTAAGACTAGAGCAGAGAAGTACAGCACATCAGAAATACAGGAAGCAGGAGACACGAGGATGATTTACTGTAGATAGATAAAGAAAGAGGAAAGAGAAGGTGGAGAGTTTGGTGCCTGGTTTCTCTCTGGATGCTGACCATTAAATGACACAGTGGAAATTTTGTTTTGAAGCTGTGATTATAATGTTTTACTTAGTTGAGACCAAGTCATTTCAACATGGTTGTTGATGTATGTTGGCAGTAAAAGGTCTGTCTGTTGCTGTCTTTTTGTTTTGTTTTTTTATTGTTCTGGGGTTTTGCAGGGTTTAAAGACTAAAGCAAACACACTGTCTCCTCTAGGAGTAGTTTTGACACCTTTGAAATTGCAGTATGCTGATTTGATGAGAGTATTGATGCAACTCTCATGCCGGAAGGGTAAATATGTACATAACATGGTTATCTTAGCTTGGCAGAAAGACTGGAAATAGGGAAATGGCTCTAGTCTGGCTCTGTCTAAAGGTAAAATCCATCTACTAGCACATGTAAAGCTAGCTGTTTATAACAATGCAGTTTGTTTAGTCCCTTACATAAAAAACAAAGAGTAAAATGAATACATTTTGGTTTTATTGGGGGCTGTGTGCCAGATAATTAGGGAGAAAATATTATATTTCCTAAAATGTAAAATTGTTCTTTTAAGTCAAGTCTCAAGTTGTCAATTCTCAGTCTTAGGACCAACTCAAGTTCATATTGATGCCACTCTCATGCCGGAATGGTAAATATGTACATAACATGGTAATCTTAGCTTGGCATAAAGACTGGAAATAGGGAAACGGCTCTAGTCTGGCTCTGTCTAAAGGTAAAATCCATCTAGTAGCACATGTAAAGCTAGCTGTTTATAACAATGCAGTTTGTTTAGTCCCTTACATAAAAAACAAAGAGTAAAATGAATACATTTTGGTTTTATTGGGGGCTGTGTGCCAGATTATTAGGGAGAAAATATTATATTTCCTAAAATGTAAAATTGTTCTTTTAAGTCAAGTCTCAAGTTGTCAATTCTCAGTCTTAGGACCAACTCAAGTTCATGTCTAGAGTCTCATGTCTACAGGTCAGTTTCAGTTTAATTTCTGATCAGGAGTTTGTCATTATGCCAGCAGTTATCTCTGAGAAAAACTGGTGCATCTCCTTTACCCAGTACCTATTCTCCTTCCTCCTTCTTCCTGCTCCTTCTTTCCCTCTTCTCCCTTCCTTGAAGATGTTTTCATACAATCAGAACAAACACAGAATGAGGTGAACTTCCACATTCTTTCACTTTCTGCCCTGCCATTCTTCCTTCATTTGTAGTAAAAAGACCACAATGAAGATGGCGAGGGGGCGAAGGGAGTGAAAGAAAAACAGTGTTAGCAGAGTAGAAGGCGGATGGTACCATTAACACTTGTTCTTTGATTCCTGGGTTCTGTGGGGTCGGCGGCATTTAGGTGTGATTAGTTGTGTGAGCTGATGGGAGGTTTGGCTGCAAGATGGGAGCAGGGGCAGTTAATAACTCCTAACTTAGGCCTGTGTGCAAGCAGCCAACACTCTCGTCAGAGCACACTGAAACTGGCCATGATGCACTTATACACTCTCTTCTTCATTGTTTGATTTTTCTTACTCATTTTTTTTATTACAGCCTTTTGATGTAGTAAATTTAGTATAGAAAACCAAAGAGGGAATATAATGTGATTGATATGTAAAATATGTTCAGGGATCACAATCTGTACTCATGTTATTATAGCTCCTCAGTGAGGGACTGTAGGCACATATTACACATGGCCTAAGGGTTGTGAAAAGTCCTGCTGAGTTGGTGTTTTGCATCATGTTTATTGTTAAAGTGACACAAATCAATAATTTATTAATAACTATATGGCAGATCCCTCTCAGTTTTATTGGAGTTTTAGCCTTTTTTCAGCCGATTACGTTGGTTTTGTGGGCCACAACTTTCCATCTGTACACTACCTGCTCAGCACCAACCAGACAGACACAGTTAGCAACTAGCTGGTGAACATAGTGGTTCACACAGCAGCTAAAAGCCAGATATCTCCCTTAGGAGTAGGAGAAGCAAAGTTAAATACATATAGAGAGAGAGAACTATAAGAGAGTAAATATTTGATGTACATTTATCTGGTGGCAAGAAATGTAATCCCGAATGAACGCTGAAGTTGTTAATGTGGCAGTATAAATTTATAATGTTGCTTCCAATTAGCCAAACAAATCTGGTTTAACTTAAACATTTCATGACTTCTTATATGATTTCATATATGCTTTTATATTTTTAAAATGTTGACTCACTGGGTGTAGAGGTTTTTAATCTGACAGCAGGGATAAACAGACTTTATGCAACACGGACATCGATCCCGGAGTCTGTCTGTGTTTATAATAGAGGGTTTTCTCGCTGTTTGAAAAGATTAATACCACTACACCCTGGCTGTCAAGGCTGTTTAAATTTCTCAAAACTTTCCCGACCACTTTTCTCTCAGCACTGGGCTGGAGGACGAAAGGAGAGACGGAATTAACAAAGAACCAGGTTCTGTCTGCCCAGTTTTCCTGGCTGTTTTGCACTAATCTTTCTGCTCCATGCTTAATTTTAATATTCATATCATTTGATTCAACTTTTCTGCCATTCTGAAAAACAGCTATTTGACAGTGATTGTTGGAAGATGTGCTCGGCTGATCCTTTTATTTTCTTTCTCCCATATTACTACTTTTGACTATAAATCCAACCATCACAGGTGCCTGACAGTGCTGCTTCATTAATGATTGGATTTATGTGTGTATGAATGGCTATGTGTCAGGGCTTCACTTACATTTTACAAGTGGCTTCACTTACATTTTACAAGTTTATTAATTTGCCATTTGAGATCTTGAGTGTAATTTGAAGACTCAGAATAATTAATCTAATCAGGTGTGTTTGACTGTAATACAGTATAAACACATATACAGCACAACTTTTCCTGTAACTTGTCTGTGTGTGGCTCTGTAATATCTTTGGACATTATCTAGCTGTCAACAAACTGGGTTAAATTGACCTGACCTTGTAGCTGATGTGACAAAGACTGTGAGGCCTGTGCTTCCGTCAGCCCACTGACAATCCAGTTATACAGTTGAACCATCAAAGAGTTAAAAACAAAGCAGTTTGACTTTGTGTAGACAGGACTGTAGTGTGTGTGTTTCTCCCACAGTGGTCCAGGGGTTGACTGACAAATTTGTGTAAGGAAGTAGTTGCTAAAATGTGTAATGACTTGTAGGTGTTACACTAAGCCAATGCTGACACTTGCTCAGGCTAGCTTACAGGAATTAGACACTAAAATACTTGTGCACTATAATCATAACTGATTGATTGATACCCTGAAACTTCTTTTCCCCTTTCTGTGTTGTGGAAGACTTGTATTTGCAATGTCTGTGCAATTAACATGTGATTTATTAAGAAGACTGGTAATTACACAGTCAGAGACTTCATGTAGTTGTGTTCTGCAAGTGTAGGAGAATAACAAAAGATGCTATCAAGGAGTTTTATCTGGCAAAGCATCCAAAAATCCTTAGTGATGAATTAACAACATGTCAAAGCATTTACAGTGCTTAAGCTGCAATTAAGCTCTTAAATTAGATCATTATTTTGGAAACCTATTATGTATATTTTGCTTTTTTAGTTGTATGTGGGAAT